TGGTACCATATTATTCGTAAGTAATGTCCATTGATGAGGACGCGTTGCATAACCAATTACAATTTCGTTGTTAATATGCAGACGTTGGCCGGGAGGTTAATGGTCACGGATATACGGTTGAAGTTTATATTCTGCAGAAATATATTTTCCAAATAATCTCAATCGAAGATGGAAATAAGGAAACACGTCGAAGATGAATAACATGAGTTTTTTGCATAGGAGGGAAAACTTCACAAAGCAGTTTTTGAAATATTTACAAACATTTCTGTTTCTGTTCTGTCAAAGTAATAGAAACGAAATTGAATGAAATTATCAGATAACCATGAATTTTTTTAAACAAAGAAAAAGGAAACATGATTATATATATTCCACTTTATTATATCTCTGTATATCTCATTCTGAACGGCGCAAAATGTCTTAACCAACAGACAACTAACAAAAAAAATGCGAACAAGTTACGGCTCAAATTTTTGCCAAAAATTATCATTACATAAGATCAACGAGCAAAATTAAAAGAACCTTTGCATTGAAATGATACAAAAAATTACATAGTAGGATACTGCGAAATATTAATAATCAAAAGTTGAGCTGAACAATCTTAACCTCAATGATCAACTGTACTTGAGAAACTTTTCATTAAACTCACAGTTTCACAATCACCGATTGTTATTTGTTTCATCACTCTCCTATCCATATTCGTGAGATCTAAATTTCGTAGAGGGACCCCAAGTGCGCTAAAATTAGGCAAAGGGATGGAAGTTATGATTTCATAAGTCAATATCTAGACCTACTAAAGTCGTGCATATTAATATCGAAATTAATATCTCAGAGTGCAGATTTCATTCAATAATCTCTTCACAACAAAATTGTCAATCAACTGACGTACCTCCCCCGTATCAGCGACACTTCACAACCCTTACAACAGCAATGGAATTGAAACAGTTGCAGCGAGCAATTTGCCACGCTAGAATTACTCTCTATGACTTCCGTTCTGGGTATTTATCCCGATTTTTACGCCGACGAACGTTGTTCGAAGTTTGATTGACGACAAAACAATGACTTGACAGAATGACAGCGGTACAAAGGGATTTTCGAATGTCACGCGGGAGCCGTTCGGAGCACTCAATGTTGCATCGAAGATTTCTGGAACTGATTTGGAGTAATTCGGCATCACATCGGAAATGTGTTTTGGAAAGTGATAATGATAATATGATATATGATTTCCTGCTATTGACCTGTACCTAGAATGATGCTTAGAAATCGTTGATTGCATCATAAAGTTAGAAACAAATAAGTATAGAAAAAAAAATGGAACAATTAATGATTATAACGAAATTATTTTCTACAAATGTCTAGTTGGATTCAGTAAGAAGATACAGTCCAATGCCTATATGAATAAATTTGAGATTTGTTACGTTTTTTCGCTCTTCAATAGCCTTCTTTGAGTGCAACTCATTCCACAGATCACCAAATTAAAATTCCTGCAAAACCAGCAAAGGAAGTGAAGGCCGGATTCTACTCATTTGGTGTTTTAAATAACATAACAATTTCATTCATGTGACCCGAGTTTCGGTATAAACTAATTCAAAATTTAAACATTAGGAAAATCGTTTTTCAAGTTGGACAGATAATAAACTAATTATCAATTTCCACATCAGAAATATGATTGAGAGGTAGACTAGCCGAGTTGCAATGAAATTCCATTATTAAAAAACGAAAAGAGAAAATCCATCTTTTTGTTACCCTTATTGAATTTCATTCATGTTTTTTAGCCAACCATTCCCAAAGAGGATTCCATATATATTTACAATAAACATATCATTATCCTTTCAAAATGAATAAGGTAAAACATATGTCTTCATATAATTACTGTAATATCCGTATATTCTACAAAGAGAATGGATAATATATTTGAGTATTTTAGAGTTCAAGGAACATAAAAGCCACAACAGCAATTTAACTTGAAAGAATTCATTTATTTAGACATAACTAGAATATAGCTTTGTGAATGAAACAGCAGTGGCGTTACCAAAAGGGTTTCTCATCAGTCTTGAAATGTATAATTCCCCGCAAAAAGTTCAATACCGGTTAATTTGATGTTTTCAAAAATGAAGTTGTATGTAAGAAAACTACAAGTTACATTTTCATCAAGTGCTGAGGTGGTGTATTTAAAACTAAACTTTTATAAACGAGGTGTTTCCCAGATCTTTACGTTCAGATAAGTAGTGAAAAAACTTCTTTCTTATTTAATTGAATACTTCCAGTAGCTAATAAATGTAATGCTACAGTTACAATAAATACTGTTGATTTTGTCATAGAAAATGCTTACTTTGACAGTAAACGTTTATGAAAAACCAGAGGAAGATTCAGCAAATCATTTGGACAACAAATTTAAAGAACACAACCACAGCAGAACTCACTTCATACCGCACTGGAATATATAAATTAATATAAATATACTGTAAGTTCCACTGAAATGATACAGGAAAATGGGATCAGTTTTTTCCATAAATACTACGAACTGTACATGAAAATCAAAAAAGATTTATAAGCAAGTTCCATATTGAAAGTCTTTGTAGGCATAACACTGTCTATGACACTTTTGGAATGTTCAGATCTTGATTGGAGGTTAACTCAATTTTAAAACACCAAACAAAGTTGGCTCTGTAGCTGAAGTGACTAACAATATTTTTAAAGTATTGGATCAAAATCAGAGTGGGTAGTATTTTGATCCTCGTATTATAAGTCATGAAATTTTCTGGTGTACAGTTCAGCTGTTATTGTCTGAGGAATTTGTGTCAGGTTTTTCCAAAGCTGTTGTTTGAAGGTCGTAACTGCAGATTATTGTAAATGGCACTCATATACTTCTGAAATATGAACTTGAATTGTGTCCTGTATGTATGTGTGTTTGTTCAGAATTTCTTCACCAATACTGTTATGTTTTGGGGAAAAAAGAAGCAGCTATTGTATCTAGATTTTATTTTTCCAATAATTTATTTTATTTTATGAGCCAAATTTCTAAATTCGATATCGAATATCTAATTGAACACAAGTTAATATTACGGGGTGAACATTCCAATTGGCTCTTTCTTACACTTGAGCGATGCGTACATAAACTTCTAGCGACTTACTTTAAACTCAAGACATACCAAGTAGTCTTATGACTGGACTTTGGGGAACCCCAAAACAAAATTCCAACATTTGTTATACTCCCTGCCTCCGCCACTGAAGGGGCATGTAATAGCAAAGTAGTAATTGTAAACTCGCACAGACGATCAATTTGCATGAAAAATAATCTTAATGACATGGTATTACTTTATAAACACCGTTCGGAAAACACACATCTGACGGTTTTCCGGAACCCCTGGCCAACAACATTAACAATTCACCGTGTTTATCGGTTTTTACGGCGGTGATCAAAATTATATGAAGGGAATTAGATTACTGGATTTTTGAAAGCAAATAAAATGCTTTCGAACCTAAATTATTGGTATTCTCTGGTTAAATAGGTGTGAATTGGCCATGTGGTCGAAGTAAGACGGAAAAATAAGTTTTCGAAGTGAGGTTCGTTTGATGAAGTGATTATCTGCAACAGCTCAAAAACATACCAAAAAGTGCATATCAAAACTGTTTCGAGGATTGGAAAAAACGTTGGCACAAGTGTATTATATCTGAGGGGAACTACTTCAAAGGGAAATAGAAATTGGTGTGACACAGTCAGGTTGACGGGTGGACAGTCAATCATTGAGTGAGTAAGTGAGTCAGTCATTGAGTCAGTAAATCAGTGAGTCAGGAAGTCAGTCAGTCAGTCAGTCAGTGGAACAGTCAGTGATACAGTCAATCAGTGAGACAGTAAGTGAGTCAGACAGTCATTCAGTTAGTCAGTCAGTCGGTGTGACAGGCAGTCAGTAGGTGGGTCATTCAGTCAATCAGTCAGTCAGTGAATCAGTGAGTCAGTATGTGAACCGGTCAGTCAGTCAGTGAGTCAGTCAGTCAACCAGTAGTGTGTCAGTCAGTGAGTTAGCCAGTGAGTCAGTCAGTGAGTTAGTTAGTGAGTCAGTCAGTGAGTTATTTAGTGAGTCAGTCAGTCAGTGAGTCAGCCAGTCAGGTGGTAACTCAATCGGTGGATCAGTCAGTGATACAGTCAATCAGTGAGATAGTCAGAGAGTCAGACAGTCATTCAGTTAGTCAGTCAATCGGTGTGACAGTCAGTCATTAGTGTGTCAGTTAGTGAGTCAGTCAGTCAGCCAGGCAGTTGGTGGATCAGTCAGTAAGTCAGTCAGTTAGTGAGTGAGGTAGTGATTACGTCAGTGAATCAGTCGGTGAGTAAGTGAGTCAGTCAGTAGTGAGTCAGTCATTGAGTCATTCAGTCAGTGAGTTAGTGAGTCAGTCAGTCAGTGAATCAGTCATTTAGTGAGTTCGGAATTGAGTCAGTGATACAGTCAGTCAGCCAATGAGTTAGTGAGTTGGCCAGTAAATCAGCCAGTCACTAAGTCAGTAACTGGGTCAGTCAGTCAGTCAGTCGATGGGTCAGTCAATCAGTGAGTGAGTCGTTCAGTGAGCCAGTCGTTCAGTGAGTCAGTCAGTGAGTCAATCAGTGAGCCAGTCGTTCAGTAAGTCAATCAGTGAGTCAATCAGTAAGTCAGCGAGTCGTTTATCGAGTCAGTCAGTGCGTCAGTTAGTCAATGATCCAGTCGTTCAGTGAGTCAGTCGTTCAGTGAATCAGTCAGTAAGTCAATCAGTGTGTCAGTCAGTCACTGAGTGAGTCAGTATTTGTTTAACTATTTTCAGGTTACTTGAAAATGGTTCAACAAATTGAAACCGGTCCTGACAAATGAAAATCAATCTCAATAGAAATCAGACAAAAGTTATTTTTTTTATTTCATATTCAAATCAGTATATATTGAATCAACCTCGTATACAGAAAGTCAAGTATCTTTTTTACGTAATTATAGATATATTGAAACATTATCTCATTTTTCATTAAAATTTATCATTCATAAAGTCACAGTTGTGCTATTTACAAATAGAGATAACAGTACACTTTTATACATTTCTACAAAACTTTCAAATGAAGTTCTTGACGTTGCTCTCATTTTTCTTGATAATACTTGAGTTAAATTGTGAAGACAGTTTAGTTTTCGTTCATGTAGTAAGTAAAACTGTTTTCACTATTCTTCCACAATGTGTATCAAAAAGTTATCATCATTCAGAAGCTGTTTACTGATTTGCCATTATTTTATTATCTCGACACTCAATTTGGATTAGCATTCCAGCAATAAAAGCTCGTTTTCTTATATCTTCGATTCGATTTTTTAGATTTTTCGACATGGAAACCGAACACCAGAACAAAACAATCTGTACCAGGCCAGTCCATATATGAACGAAACTTATTTCAAACCTTATGGATTTGGACAGTTGACTAATGTGAGTATTTAATTATTTTTCTAAATCTCATTTGAACTATTTCGAATTTCTTTCTCAAGTATCCGTATAAATATTTCGCCATTGATACGAAAGAATGTAGGTTAATTCTAATTGGAAATTAGATGATAGTTTTGCAGAACGTGGTTGAAGTGGAAACGACATTGTTCAGATCAACTAGGCAATAGAAATATTATTCAAGCTAGCTATCGCACATTGAAAGTAAGACCTTGTTGATCCTTAGCTTGCACAAGTTTACACTTTTGAGGGTTGCTGGGGGACGACAGATGCTTGATGGAAACACAGATTAGAAGATTTGCGTTCATATATTAGTGTTATACAGGGTGTAACTGAATAAGTATGCAACATTTAAGGTGATTCCTCATCGAAAAAAAGATAGGATCTTTCATATAAAGAAACTTCAAGATGCTGACTAAAATGGAGCATTCCTTGTTAAGATACATCCCGTTAAAGGGGGTACATGAAATTTGTATAACAATTTTTTTCACAAGCACTGAAGAAGTTACAATATTGATATTAACCTGACGTTTTGTACTACCAAAAAGACATTTAGCCAGTAATTTATTTGGTTTACCCCACGGTTGTAAGGGGTGGAAAACGCAACCCCTAAAAATTATTTCCAATGTAACTTTTTGTCTTATTATTTGTTTACCATTTAAAAATTCATTTCCGATAGCCTGTTTCATTCTCAACGAAAAATGTCTCTTGGGGTTTTTCCCCAAAATAAACCAGTTCGCAGCAAAAATTTATTTTACGAACAACTACAGAGATAAATCGTCATAAATGCGAACTGGATTTATTGGTATTTTGTAGTTAGTACCTGCATTAAACGATTAAAGGGTAATAAACAAAACTAATTTATTAATAACAAAACACACATGTAAAAATCATAGTAAATGTTCAATATGTCTAACTTCAGACATTACGCATGCGTCTAGACGTCGCCGCATTGAGCCACGTATTCGCTCAAATATTCCTGGAGTCTCTCTGATTACCCTGTACGCATCGATGATGCGGTTTCTTAAGTCCTCTACATCGCGAACAGGAGTACAGTAAACCAAATTCTGTAAATGACCCCAAATATAGAAATCGAGAGGATTGAGATCCGGGGATCGAGCGGGCCAGTTCTGTGGTCCTACTCGACCTATCCACTGATTTGCATGTGTTTCAGTTAAATGCTGACGTGCTACTTGACTAAAATGGGCGGGAGCCCCATCATGCATAAAAAACATATCCCTTCTGACGCCCAAAGGAACTTCCTCCAGCAGTACTGGATGCACTTCTTTCAAAAATTGAACGTATGCCTCACCATTTAACCAAGGAGGTAGAAAATGAGGTCCAATTAAATCATCCCCAGTAACTCCGAGCCACACGTTAAGAGAAAACTGTTCTTGATGGTTAGTTTCGACAATAGCGTAAGGGTTTTCATCAGCCCATATGTGGTTATTATGAAAATTATTAATCTTGTCCCGAGAAAAACTACATTCGTCTGTGAATTCTATCGTCTTCAGAGAGTCACAATTTCTTCTAATCATTTCAAAAATTGAGACGGTTCGGAAAGTCTCGCGGTAACAGTGCCTATACTCGTTGCAGATGGTTATAACAGTTATTCCTTTAAAATTCGAAATACCGTCATATCATCAATATTTACCTGGAAAGCAATCTTTCTAGTACTGGTAGTAGGTTGTTCTTCAATCAAATTAAGTACTGCTTCCTCAAGCTGTGGTGTTCGTACTTCTCGGTGGCGACCACAATCCTGCGTTCTTTTGTCGAATGAACCATATTCTCGTAATCGTTGATGAAGTCGAGCAAATATTCTATGTGAAGGATGCTGCCGTTGAGGATACATTTCAGCATATCTTCTAGAAGCTTCTAACTCATTCCCCTGCGACAGACCGTAAACGTAATGCATATCACCCATTTCCTCATTTGTGTATGCCATTTTAATAACAAGTGAATTATTAAAGTAACAAATTAAGAACAGAACAACAACACACAATTAGTATTAATTCAATTTCGAAAATTCACAAACTGACAGCGTCATACCAATTTAATTGTCACTATCGCTAATAGCGACCTACTAGATAGATTAGTTTCGTATTTTCGCATTTATGACGATGTATCTCTGTAGTTGTTCGTAAAATAATTTTTTGCTGCGAATTGGTTTATTTTGGGCAAAAAACCCAAGAAACATGTTTTGTTTAGAATGAAACAGGCTATCGGAAATAAATTTTTAAATGGTAAACAAATAATAAGACAAAAAGTTACATTGGAAATAAATTTTAGGGGTTGCGTTTTTCACCCCTTACAACCATGGGGTAAACCAAATAAATTTCTGGTTAGGTGTCTTTTTGGTAGTACAAAACGTCAGGTTAATTTCAATATTGTAACCTTTTTAGCGCTTGTGAAAAAAATTGTTATACAAATTTTATGTACCCCCTTTAAGGGGCTGTATCTTAACAAGGGATGCTCTAATGAAATTTCTTTATATGAAAGATCCCATCTTTCTTTCGATGAGGAATCACCTCCTTGAATGTTTTACACTTATTTAGTTACAGCCTGTATTAATTAGTAGAATAATAGAAAATCAGAAGGCGAATTTAGAAATTTCAGAAATAAAAAAGATATCATGACTTATTACTTTTTCAAGGTGATAATGGTTTTGTATTTCATTTCAGAAAGGAAAATTGAATGCCTACAATGTGGGAAAATCCCTGAGACAGCGATATAGCGGTTTTCTAGACGAGGAATACAACATAAAGTTGATAGATGCCAGGAGTAGCGATTTTAACAGAACCAAAGCTTCTCTTCAAGCTATGCTTGCAGGATTGTTTCCTCCCTCAAAAGACTTAATATGGCTAGAAGGGCTCAATTGGCAACCGATTCCATATACTTACGTAGATAGATCCTTAGACAAGGTATGTTAAAATCCCAACTTCTCAGATGAAGGAAAAACTTCATTCACACACTTTTTGAAAACATTTTCCTGTGTCAGTTCATCGATATCGAAACTCAAATTCCTGTATGGATATTTGATTGATAGTGCTTTACTTTTCAGGAACTATTTTGCTTCGGTTGTTCAAACTGGGACAAAAATTTCGATGGTTATTTGCACGGCAGCAATGGAAAACCTTTGATCGACTCTTATAGGAAAACTTTCGATTATCTAACAGAGAAAACTGGAGAAAACTACAATGATCTCGTCAAAACTTATTATCTGTATTTTGGATTGGAGATACTTGTAAGTAATTATAGGAAACAAATAAATAGTGACTTTTATGAATAAAAGATTGAAGAATCCATAAAAAATAATAAAATGGCTGATCTTTGAGCCTTCCACTAGTCTAACCACTATAGTCCAAGGTATCAGGGTCGCCGGAATTAAGTATTTTTGGCAATGCTAAACTTGTCTTTCTAATGTGAAATGGGGACTTAATGTTTTTCTGTATATACGTCGATAATGATCTAGCAAAAGTTTCAGTGTGGCTAATGCAGCTCATAAATTAATATCGAATTTCCGAAAAAAACCATTGTGTTCATTTCTAAGAGATACTTAATGACAAATCTATCGAAAGAAGTAAAACTTGGAGAAAATAAAATGAAATATTAGTCGAAATTGACCTAATAAATGACTTCAAAAATGACCTAGCAAAACCTTTAGTGTGGCTATGCAGCTCATAAATTAATATCGAATTTCCGAAAAAAACCATTGTGTTCATTTCTAAGAGATACTTAATGACAAATCTATCGAAAGACGTAAAACTTGGAGAAAATAAAATGAAATATTAGTCGAAATTGACCTAATAAATGACTTCAAAAATGACCTAGCGAAAGTTTTAGTGTGGCTAATGCAGCTCATAAATTGATATCGAATTTACAAAAACAATCCTTTGTGTTCATTTTTAAGAGATATTGGATGAGAAATCTATCGAAAGAATTAAAACTTGGAGAAAACAAAATGAAATAATCGTCGAAAATTACCTAGAAAATGACTTCAAAAATGACCTAGCAAAAGTTTTAGTGTGGCTAATGCAGCTCATAAATTAATATCGAATCTACAAAAACAATCCTTTGTGTTCATTTGTAAGAGATATTGGATGACAAATCTATCGAAAAAAGTAAAACTTGGAGAAAATAAAATGAAATATTCGTCGAAATTGACCTAGAAAATGATTTAAAAAATGACTTAGCAAAAGTTTTAGTGTGGCTAATGCAGCTCATAAATTAATATCGAATCTACAAAAACAATCCTTTGTGTTCATTTGTAAGAGATATTGGATGACAAATCTATCGAAAAAAGTAAAACTTGGAGAAAATAAAATGAAATATTCGTCGAAATTGACCTAGAAAATGATTTAAAAAATGACTTAGCAAAAGTTTTAGTGTGGCTGATGCAGCTCATAAATTGATATCGAATCTACATAAACAATCCTTTGTGTTCATTTCTAAGAGATAGTGGACGACAAATCTATCAAAAGAAGTAAAACTTGGAGCAAATGAAATGAAATAATATACGTCGGAAATGACGTATACAAGTTCTATCCCACAATTTTTTGAATTCATTGAAAATACTTTCGATTATATCATTGCTTGGTCGGTCGGTAGCCAAGCGGTTCGGCGTGGGTGGTTTGTTCACTCACTCGAATTGACTGCCGTGTTTATCGGTGGTTCAAGCCCTAGTCTGAACGATCGATCTTCACTTGCTACCGTCCAACCCGTGTTAGGAATCACACGTTAAAAGGTAAGACCTCGTTAATCCTTAGCTCGCACAAGTTTCGACTTCTGAGGGTTGTCGTTCGTAGGGGTGCGACAGCTGGTTAACGGAAAAACATATCTTAAACATATATATTTCTTTAATTTTCACAATTCGTCAATTTGTTCAAAAGATTTGGATCACTAGTTTCATTGATAGTTCCAAATTCGCATTATGTAGTGTTTTTGGGGTCATTTCATTGATTTGGATCGAACAAATGCTGATAATATGATTCCTAAACATTGTAAACATTGAATGGATTTCATTCGAGAAATTGCCTTATCAATCTAGTAAGTACTCGAAATGTTGACAGCCAACCAATGTTATCTTATCACATGACCTCGAATGAGTCAAGTAGAGTACAATACCCTTCGTTTTTATGTAGTCCCACAACTAATCCAAAGGGGTTTGAATCGGGTGATCGAGAAGGCCACTCAACTATACCTTTTGGTTCAAAGTTTTTCTCATTTTTTGTGATGTCAATTTGGTTAGTGTATCGTTAGATTGTCATTTGATATTTATTCAGTCTATACTATGAACATTCCACTGCTAGAATTTTCATTCATAGGAAGAACTAAAGTATGCTTTACCGGAATGGGCATCTGAGGTGTATCCGTATCCAATGAAGAATATCACGACACTGCACTACAATGTGATGGTTGCAACGAAGACATTGAGGCAGATGGCTGCAGGTAAATATACAGTGTGGGAGTGAAAAGCCGCTCCCTTTAACTTTGAATGAGACAAAATATTGAAATAGGACAAAGTTCACCCAGAATAGTATGATTTTCCGTACTTTTCAATGAAAAAATTTGTGTGGCTTCAGTCGTCGCCGTTAGGTCGCTATCAACTAGTTTTTTCAAATAGTCGTCTTGTTATATTTCGCATTATAGGAGTTGAAATTTTCTATTCAACAATGGGTCATTTTTCGAAATTGAATCAGCCGTTCCTGAGTAACTGAAGGCTTTGTATTCTACAAACGATAAATGAAGTTTCATTGAAAAATGTATTCGAAACTCACGATTCATCACAAAACTCACATTATAGAATGTCTCTGACTCAAGTTCATTGAAGCACCTCTTCATGAATTCTGGAATGGATTGTAATTATGTGTACTTCAGATTATGCGGATCCACACCAAAAGTCTAGAAGCGTCATATCAGGTAATCTAGCGGACCATTGAAGGAACAGATTCACCATGAAGGTGTATTTTCTTGCTAAAATATATCATCAGTTAACAAATAAATTTCAGTTTGTCTGCACTATGCTATTAATTTCATGTATGGTTCATGACTTACGACTTACGAAACCCAAAAATTCAAATAGTGAATAATAATAATGATAATAAATAAATCGGCGATGATTGTTGCTTTACTATTTGGGGGGGGGGGGCGAAGGGGTCTTTTTTTGTCCGTCCTCTTCATTTCATCATTTAAAATTTCCTGAATTATGTTTCAGGTTACTTATTGAAAAAGATACTTAGCGACACTCAAGAGAAAATAGACGGAAAGTTTCCAGACAAGAAAATGTCTGTTTGGTGTGGCCACGAGAACAACATTGCTGCCTTATTGAAGATTCTCAAGGTTTGGAACGAAGAAGAAATTGCCTCTTACGGTAGCAACATATTGATGGAATTACATTTCATCGATCAGAAATATGGTTTCAAGGTATATTAGGTAATTAATGAAAACATTTTTCACACTCCAGAACTGAAGCACTGAGTCTTGATGCGAGTTTCGTTTACCAAGTTAACATCATCAGGAGATGTAGGCATCAGGGTTTGGGAAAGGTGTTTTCATTATAAGGGATCTTTGACAATTGATAACGGCCATCTTGTTGTAGCTACATCTGTCAAATTAGTTGTCATTTATAGTGAAATAGCATTCAACAACATGTACAAATAATAAAATTGTTTATCAAAATGGGTGTTCTGTTCGGACGACGTACCGCGCGCTTCGGACTCTGAAGTAGTTGGCAACTGATCCTAATTTTCATCGAAAAATTATCTTCAGCAATGAGATCCAAAAGCGTCCAATTCAACCCGAGAAAGTCACTCATTGGTGTGAATTTTGGGCTGGCGACGACTTCAGTCCACAGTTCTTTGAGAACTACATTGGTCAAGCCATCACTGTCAACGGCAAGCTCTATAGGCATATGATTATCAACTTCTTTTGCAATTTATTTTTATTATTTAGTTTTTCGTCAATAACTCAAAAAATATTAATATTTGAGCAATTTTGAAAAAAGTTCGTTGAAGAGGAGGAAATTTCCGATAAAAAAGTCCTGGCTCCCGAAACTCTATCTCCATTATTTATAATTTTAATTTGACGTTGAAAATAGGGTTTCGCGCGGTTATTACGGCATGCGCGCGCTGCCGCTAAAGAGAGTTTATCAAAATCGATTTTTTTATATTTCGATTGTTTAAATAATTAGTTAAGAAATAATTTTGCTTTTAAAAATCATAATTTACACTTTTGAATGGTTTGGCAGAAAAAAAAATCTATTCATTATTTGATTGTTTATTAGTTTAACAATTTGTTATAAACAGATATTGACCAACGTTATATTTTTTTTCTGAAACAGAAAAAAATTATAAAAACAGCTATATATATATCGTATCGTATGATATTAAAAAGGGGGCGTCCATAAATAACGTGAGGTGTTTTTTTTTAATTTTCTGTCCCTCCCTCCCCTTCTTGTGAGATGTCGCGAGATTTAACTCAACCTCCTCCCCCATCCCCCAATCTCACATGAGATTTTTCAAAATGTGGGTTTCTTACATAAACACGTTGGATGATTATTGCAAAAAGAAAAAACAAATTGCTTCGTGCTTTTATTTACGACTAGTTAAGACTAGTAATCAATATTGCATAATCGAAGTATGAATGAAATTATTTTCTTCCGAACGAATTAGTGAATGATCTTGAATCTTGAGCATGTACAATCTGGATTAAATGGACCAAAATACTATAATTTTTTTTTGTTTCAATCTGAAAAAAAAATTGCGTGATATTCGCCGGGACCCCCCTCTCTCCAGCGTAAGATTAGATGAGATTTGACTCGACCCCCTCCCCCCTTAAACACCTCATGTAATTTATGGACGCCCCCAAAGTATTATAATGAATTAAAACAAATTATGGCACTTTTTTATATATAACTGTTTTTATAATTTTTTTCTGCTTCAGAAAAAAATATAACATTGGTCAATATTTGTTAACAAATGGTTAAACTAATAAACGATTCAATAATAAATACATTTTTTTGCTAAATTATTTAAAAGTGTAAATTATGATTTTTAAAAGCAAAATTATTTCCTAACTAATTATTTAAACAATCGAAATATAAAAAATCGATTTAAGATTTTTTTTTAAAATTAAATATTAATATTTTTTGAGTTATTTTTTGTCTGCGCTCGGTAATACCCTTATATTTCAATTGAGTGATTGATATGCTGTTGCTTTGAAAATAAAAACGTATTTGTACTTTTCCAGATTTACTTTAGTAATAAACAGTCTAATCCTGATCTGTTGTCGATACCGGGTTGTGGAAATTTCTGTCCTCTGGATGAGTTCAATGTTTTGGTCAGAAATGAAATACCCACTAGTGACGAGATATGTGGAAAAGGTAATTTAGACATAATATTCTCTATTCATTTCTTTGATAAAGATACTTTTTTTTTCAGCTTCCCCGGCCAATAGTTTAATAGTAAATAATTGGATCATCATCTGGTTTTCCTCTATTGTATGCTATAAAATAATCTTCTAATAAATTTGACAATGGTTTTAGAAACAGTGGTTGAAAAAAAATAAATTGAATGGCTGGCTAGAACTTTTTTCTACAATAATATAATCAGTTCGATCCTAAATCTTGTTATTTTTAGAGATTACTATTGATGTAAAATATTTCGAATAATCAAAAGACTGAAACACTTTTTATATATGGTGTTTTCATTGCAACACACTTGTTTACAGATTCCAACGGATTTCTCCGATAGTCATAAAATAACAGATCAGGTAATTTTGTGGTCTTTTTGAGAAGGTAATTGAACAATTTTCGAAATCAATTAAGATTGAACGGTAATTCACCTAAATTTTAAATTATTAAAAAAATTGAGTATATTCGAACGTCATTATGAAAAGATTTGCTATCGCAAGGCTGCACAACCACAAAAATAACGATGTTTTCATTTAATTTCAATCCATCGTTAGCCAGGTGAGTTATCTATTCTACTGCATGATTATTTCTATACAGTACATTTCTTTAATGTCCCCCCCTTTTAATTTTTGAACGGATCAACTTTAAAAATTGAAATTTAAGATAGTGAAATTTAATACATGAATACTTTATTTTGAAGTTATTCAGGAAATTATTAAATGTTCCGCCATTTTGTGGTAGGTGAAGATATTGACTGCATATTCAAGGGTTGTGAAGTATTCATCGGGAGCTTCAAAATGATTTGTCACAAAACCCCCCTTTCCATTAAAAGTTTTCTCCAGATGGCACCCAGTCGCCATCTTGAAAGACTCATCTGTCAATTTCACTTCAAAATAAAGTATTCATGCATTAATTTCATTATCCCAAATTTGCTAATGACAATAATGAAGTCTTTGAAATGAATAGCCGAAGCTATAGTTGGCCGTTGTTGGCTTCTTTGCTAAAAGTTCGTGTCATTGTAGATTTTGCGATACTCAGGCTGGTATATTCTCAAATTACACCCTGTATATCCCACAATAAATCCGTTCATGAACTATTCTTGGAGCAAAACAATTTTCTTGAGATCGTATAAATCGACACGGTTAATTTAATCGTTTTTAGCGGACGGCGCGAAAGCTCATCTCTCATGTTCTGGATGAGCTGGTGCTACGAAGACATGATTGATCTCATTTGTAAAAACTGTCGAGTTATTTTTATCGGTGGGCGGTACTAGACCTCGTTAAGTTTTAACTAATTATAATTTGTCGGATACATTAATTAGAAGTTTGGTCGCTGCTCGTTGACAGGACCATTTTTTCTACCCTTTCAGTTATAATTTTTTCCAGGTCTCATGAAAACACTGCAACCTCTTCTCCCATATTTTCATCCAACCATCACAACAATATTGTTCCCTGCATATGAAGCGATACAAATCGATACAGTTTGGTGGCAGTTTATAAGTAGTTGATTTCTAAGGGGTTTGATGTTATAGCACAACTGATGAGACCGTGGTGGCAACAACATCTAGTTGTCTTGTAGTGGAAGCTGCAGTGGAAGAAGACGAATCCCTTTCAGCAGTCTATGTAGAAGCTTGACTTTGCAACTAACCACCTTGGAAAATCTTGTTTATCTTTGATATCTGAGTACTGAGTCGTCTATCGCTTCTGAAATTGGCGCCTTTGTAGGGGGAGATGCCATTACATTTACTATCATCAACTGAAGATGTATTTTCACATAGCTATACTGTCACTAGCTGTTGAGTATGACATGAAGGTACAACTTGATGTTGAGTCCGTATTCCTTGGAAGGTCGTTCGATGATATTGTCTACAAGAAACAGCCTCAATATTTCAATGATTTCCTGAATGGAAAATTGGTTAATTTTCTATTCCAAAGATCAGTAAATGATCATGTTTGTATTTTCTTGTTCCATGTTTGAATTTTCATGTTCCATGTTTGTATTTTCATGTTTCATGTGTGTATTCCCATGAACTTCTCTTGAGAGCCCACTCAATGAGAATGTCTACTTGGATCACCTTAAGAATCGGATATTCCAAATATAAAAGAGTGTGCGCTAGTAGAAGGTCTTTCTGAACTTAGACAAAGCCCAAGAGATGTTTCGATGTTAAGTTATCTTATCGTGATAAATTTTAAACAATTCCTCCGAATCACTCAGTGCATAAGACAAAGTTTATCTATATCAGTTTTAAAGGTTTTATCGTGGATTTATCGGCTGATCTCCAGATAGAAATAAGATAATGCAGTTGTGAGACTGAAATGAATATTTTCCAAAAATTCAAGAGAAATATAGTTCCTGTTTTGAATAGAATACCAAAATAGTTTGAATTCACTCATCGAACTAAAAAGTTTGCCCTGCCCGACTATATAAAGTTGTCCATCACAATTTTTATATTCTTCAGATTGTGAAAGGCGAAAAAACCCGAGAATTCTCTTAATTTCTGGTTCTTCAACAATGATCATACATTCATTTGAAGAAAAAACTGTTTGTTAACATTATCTGCTTTCTCTAGAACATCCATCTCATTCTCATTCCATGGAACTCATCCAAAACTCGTTACATTCCGGATAGTATACTCGAACCTATTTTGTTGTATTAACTGTTAGGTAATTAAAAACTCCAACTGGGCGTGCAAAAACTATCAACTTCAAAGCTAAGCAGATGTCACTTTAATACGAAGAATCAGAAGCCAAACGCCAAATGTTTCTTGGTCATGCCTAATATATTTTGTTTTTCATGAGGCGTGATAATTGTAAATTGGTCTTTTTCTCCCGACGACGGGACTAGGGACAAAAGGAATTTCAAGTAAATGTAGAAGGAGAAATATACAGGGCGTTCCTTAATAACATGCTGATTGTTTGGGTTATTTGGACGTAAGTATGTGAAAAAGAAGCAACCACCAAATAGCTACAGCAACTGTGTTTTTTTATGTTGTGCAGCGCGATGGCCATACTTTGGGAAATTATATGATTCATATCCTGACAATTGGCAACTAAAGGTTATTTAATATGCTTTATCGAATGGAAATATTGACGTTTTTCCAACACTTCTGGGTATACCGGAAATTTGTACCAAATTCTTCAATTCGAATATAATACCCTGTATATTCCTAGCCTTCACCAAAAATGAAGAGTTTACTCAAAAAACTAGGTATTCGACTCTTGAGTGATTCCCCCATTAAATTCAAAATTCAAAATTCATGAATGAGCATGAAGTAATAAAATAAAAATTGCATATAATGAATCACCAAATGATGTTGAACAATTTTGTTCTATTGATTCTCATAATCAAGTTTGTTTGATTTTTTTTATTAATCACACGAATCTCACAACACTCATCTTCTACTATAGACTATATTTGCACAAACCTGGATGAAGAAAAATTGACGTGCAGTGTGATCCCAGCTGGTCTATCAGACCATGATGGTATAATTTTTAATTCCCTATTAAAAGTAAAAACTCAAAGAAATCATTCAAGTTTGGTAGAATATACAGCTCCAAAAATTTTAACAAATTTAAACACAATTGCGAGCAAACTGCATGGGAAGAGGTTTTGTCTTCAAGCGATTCTATGGGCGCCTTTCAAGGATTATTAACCAAACTTTTTGAAGAATGATTTCCTTAACGAAAAATAAAGATTAAAAAGATGAATAAATCGTGGATTACAAAGGGCATCAAAATTTCTGCGCCAACTTGAGATCGCTACACTCAATACGAAAATATTTTTCCGATAAATTTTTTATAACATTTGTTATATCGTCAACAAATATCGTCAAATTTACAGACGGGTCATTAAACATGCAAAAGAAATTCATTACAAGAGTAGAATAAACAAAGCTTATAATAAAATCAAAGAAAACTGGGCCATAGTGAATGGTCTAAGAAATAAATCAAATTCAATTCCAGAACACATCAATATAGATCCGGAAAAACTCAATTATTTTTACTGCACAATTGCTCAAAAACTAACTTCATCCCTTGTTCCTACTTCAAATCCTATGGATTATTTAAATAATGTAAATATGCCCAACTTTCACTTTGAAGACACAAATTTATTAGAGCTGAAAGAAATCTTGCAAGAAAATAAAAACAAAAATGCAACAGGCAATGATGAAAGTTCAGTAAAAATTTTAAATAACCTTCCCGATTCCGCTTTGAATACACTAGTGATGGCTATAAATAAATCCTTTTCCCTTGGAAATTTCCCTCCGTGTCTAAAAACAGTTCTTGTAATTCCTATTTTCAAAGGTGGTAATGCAGAAGATCCAAATAACTTTAGACCTATCTCCATGCTTTCAACACTCTCAAAAATAATAGAAAAAATGGTGAAAAAAAGGGTATTAGCTTTTCTTTATAAAACACAATATATTAACCAACTGTCAATTTGGATCAGTACTAAGTACCACAAGGATCAGTACTAAGCCCGATTCTTTTCCTCATTTATGTAAATGACCTGGTTACTCTCCTATTTTTGCGGATGACACCACGCTCCTTTGGCATGGAAAAAAATACTTCTAATATGAAAGAAACTATCTCTAGTGATTTAGAAGTTGTGAAAAAATGGTGTGATGCAAACTAATTGTGCTTTAATATTAAAAAAACAAACCTACTCATCTTCAGCTGTAATATTAACAATTTATACTTGAATGGACAAATTCTTGAGAATAAAAACCAATCCAAATTCCTGGGAATCTTCATGGATAACACATTAAAATTTGATCAACATATTTCAGCTTTGAATAAAAAATTGGCATCAGGATGTTATGCACTTCGAATAGTTTCAAATGAATTGAGTTCATCCACAACAAAAATGAGTCCCACCTGAGATATGGTGTTGCCTTCTGGGGATTTTGCAGTAAACAACTTTTTGATTCAGTGTTTGTTTTGCAAAAGCGAGCGGTTAGATACTTATGCAAGGTGGGAGTGCGTGAGTCATGCAGACCATTATTTTTGAGAGAAAAAATTCTCACTGTCACTTGTTTTTTCATACTTGAAACTGTTTGCCTGATTTACAAAAAACATAATATGGTTGGAACTCGGAAAATACATCTTCCTGTTCCAAAAACAAGCCAGACAAAGTATTCTTTGATTTATGAAAGTAAAAAGCTGTATAATCACATACCTTAGGAAATTAGGAAGGAAAAAAGCTATAATCTTGATGAATATTACAATGGAACATTGCTGTGATTTAATATAGGTGTTTTTTTTGTTGTTTATATTGACACCTATACTTCAAATTATATTTTATACTGGGATAGATCTTATTTTATTGCCATGACATGTGAACTTATGTTCAAACTGTGGTTATTTGTTATTTACATCTTTTGAAAGGGACTATACAAACTATTTTGTCTACATTTTGCTAAATTCTATTTTCTATTGTTACATTTTATCTATTAGATATGTGAACTTAGTTTTGCTCAAATTATGTTTTTGTGTATTTTTTTTAATTGTATCTTTTCTTTTATTCTTTTAAGTGTTATATATACCAGATTTTTTAACAAGCTTTGTCAATAAGATTGTATTTTCTTGGACAATAAAGTATATGTCTATCTATCTATCTAATCAGACCAATTCTGAAATAGCTCCCTTTGAAGGCTGAAACAGCTGTCTATCGGTGGCGCTTAAGTTGAAATCATTTTGGGGATGATCAGAATAGTACTTATTTATACTTAAATGAAATGAATAGAAACACATTTGTCTAAATACCACTGGTGAATTTTATTTATACGACCGGTTTCGGGTTTGACCCCATTATCAAGCTATTTGGAAAGCTATTCTGGAATACCATCGGAAAACGAATCTACATGTTTCTAGAAATGATATGAAGTCGAGAAAGGTTTATGCAATCAAGCTGCTGGAAAATAATTTCATGAAAGTCAGAAGATAAATAGATAAGTACTATTCTGATCATTCCTGATCATTCCCATATTGACTAGATAAGTACTATTCTGATCATTTTCATATTGATTTCAATTCAAGAGCCACCGGTAGAAAGCTGTTTCAGCCTATTGGGCATCGCCAGTACCGGGCAGGCGGTCCTCGGTTGAAGACAAAAAGCTCTGCCTCTAAATGAGCTTTTTGTACACCAAATTAATATCACCGGTCCAACCTTCACCAATCAGGACCATGCAAAAATGGCCTTCGTCGATTTCATCGAATTCCGTGCATGAAATCGGACAAAACTTTTGAAACAACTAAATACTAGGATTTAGGCAAGAGGGATCCCGGTTGATGGAATATTTTGTCAACTCTGCATCTTTTACTTGAAATCGTTTTTGAATTTTGAAATAAATTATATGGCTGACATAATGTGTTGATACATTTCCACATCGAGAAAAAAACATTTCAAAACTAGATTTCGATACATATATTTATTATTAAATATAAATTGGTACAGGTAAAGTGTAGGGAATATATTTATCTAGTTGATCTATATCATTCAAGTCCAACTTGTTTTCTTCATCGGAATGCTCTCTCCAAAACGATGAATCTTCTCTAGACAGCTTTCGACACCAACCCTTAAAAAGTGATTAATCTCTTCAGAGGACAAACTTTTATACTTTGGAAAATATTCAAAGATCCTTACAGTACTTAAAAAATATTCAACTTCTCGTAACTTGATTTGATTTCTATTCATTAGTGGTATTAGCCAGTGGAGTAGTTGTTTTCTGATAGCCCATTCAGCCCATTCAACCTACTGTGTAGGTATATTCGAGACTGGCTTGAACGTTTAAAGTTCATTTCTTTAGATTTGTTTACTGCCAGTTTTCAAGCATAGCCCACTGACTAATAAGAAAATATTCCATGGAAAAACCAATGGTATCAAGGTCAGTATAGAAAGTAGGCTGTTCTTACCAATTCACTATGCTTCATGTACAGCAACTCTAAGTCATTGAGATACATCTCCGCATATTTTTTGCCTATTTTCAGAAGTTTCAAGCCTCCCCTGTAATCGTTGTACCTTGCAATCCTATAATAGGCTTTCATATGATAAAGTCTGCAAGAATTGTGGAATATGATTAATGTAACTGCAACATATGAATGATGAAATAAATCAATACTGAGTGAAAACTAAGTTAAAAAAACAAAATAATTTTGCAGTAACAAAAAGAAAATAACTGGACGATATTTGATTTGGGGAGCCAAGAGATAATACATGTTTCATTTGATTACTAACCTAGGAATAACAACTTGACAATATTTCGAACCCTTGTCGTAATGTTTGAAAAGCTCAATCAGTCGTTCGTTAGTTCTGGCAATTGCCTTCAAGTTTTTTTTATCCATTTTGTTTACTAAATATATAATTAGGCCCTCGATCAGATAGAGGCCAGTAATGAAGTTTTGAACAGAATCTCCTACATCCCGTATTTTGAAATCCCAAGCTACCTTCTGCCACACCATAGAAGCTTCCCAATTGTTGTTTCTTACTTCCCTAAAAAAAAGTCAAAGAAGAAATCATCTAGAAAATCATCATCAAGATTCATCACGTTCACTCATCAAGAAGATTCATCAAGAAATCACCTATCAGGCCTCGGCAATTGCTACCTTGTTTTTTTGAGACTCAAGATATTTTAACATTTGTCAGATTTATTAAATTCATCATATATCATTATCATAATATACAGGGTGTCCCTGGACTTCCTCTTTTCCTCTCGGGAATGTATAGATGGGGTCAAAATATCACCAGTACTTCATATAACTTTTTTTCCTAAAATCCTTCGTTACCAAGTAACGGGCCCTCGAAGTTACAAAATGAAAAATGTTTTTCTTTGATAACTTTTCAAGTGAATATTCAAAATCATCCAAATTTTGGTAATTGACTAAACAAATGAATTC